TATATTTATTATGTATTATATATATATATATATATATATATATATATCTGTATGTATGTTTGTATGTATTTATATAAATATGAATGTATATTTTATATGTATTTATATATGTTTATATAAATATGTATGTATGTATGTATGTAGATGTATATATATATATGATAGATAGATAGATAAGTATATGTATATATACTTTTATATATTGATGTATACATTTATATTATATATATATTTATGTATATGTATATAAATACGTACATGTAAACATATATATATAAGTGTATATATATGTGTATATGTATATATGTATATGTGTGTGTGCGTACATATATATGAATATATATATATATATGTATGTATGTATGTATGTGTATATATTTATTCTTTTATTTGTTTATTCGTTTGTGAATATTTCTATATACGTATATGTGCGTGTTCGTATATATATATACATTTCTGTTTATTATAGTATTTTAAATATATGTATGCATGTATGTACGTTTTATGCATGTACACGGATACGCGGGTACGAATGTATGTTTTTTTTTGTATGAGCACATTCGATCTTCCCACACATAAAGGCAGAAATGCGCCTGTCAGTCATGTCGAGCTGCCTGGTAGCAGCCGTACTTCTATCACCATGCAGCCCCTCATTGCACTTTGATACTTCCAGGAGTGTCGTAGCTTTGACTATTTTTACGTAGTAAGCCTGACGAGAGACGGCCCATACTTGCAATATCATACGTACCACCGTGGTACCACCGTGGCACTGAATCGCTACGCATATACAATCTCCATATAGATCAAACATCTCAGCTCTCACTTTTATGGCTCTTCCATACATCGCTGTACATATCCAATACCAACGTATACCGACTATCTCATATCACCGTCTACAACCTGGTTCCCTTGCAGAGTTGCCCAAAACCCTTCTGGATGTCACGCGCGTGACCGATGCCAACAAGCAGGAGTACTCCAAATCCAATGTGGCCTCTATTCGGTTCCATCCCAACGCGTCCGTCGCCATCGTGGGTGGACTAGATAAGACACTCCGGCTGTTTAGCATCGACGGCAAGGCGAATGCAAAAATCCAGAGCATTTTCATAAGGGATATGCCTATTCTGAGTTGTGAATTCAGGTATTTTTTTGTTTGTTCTGGGATGTGTGGGCAGAGTATCTTTGTAGGTCATTACCAAGTACAACTTGAAGCGGTTAAGCGTGTTACATGCAGAGGTAGTCAGATCTTTCCCGCCTGTGTAGTAGTGGATCCGTTTCGAATCATGGATACATGCATGCACGATTACAAGACAAGCACCACGCGTGTGTGTGTGTGCGTGACAGGGTGCGCATACGCCAAATGGGTTTATTACTACTGTGGATCGGCTATACATACCTACCTGTCACACCTGCAAGTCCACATCAAGAGTGCGTATATGAATACAAAGTGCAAGTGCTCGTGTACGGCATTTTGTCTGTTGCACGTTTACCCCGACACGCCTCAACTATTCGACCCTTGGCGATAACAAACCCAACCTAGTGTCGCACTTCACAGTGCTGGCAGACCACCAATCACTCCGTTAGCGTAGTAGTACCCGTCGGTGTTTTATACCATATACTTCTACTACTCGCGACACGGATCATATACACACTATATTATATGTAACCTTCAGGAACAAGTTGGCGTCATGTTAGCAAGGACAAATTATCAATATCGTTCTCTGTATTAACGAAGTGTCCTGTTTTTATTATTTGCATTCCAATTTTAAATTTGCAGCACGGATGGGTCTCAAATATTCATTTCTGGTCGGCGCCCCTTCTTCTACTCGTATAACATACTCAACGGCGAGGTCGATAAGGTGCATCGCCTGCACGGACGCACAGAGAAGTCTCTGGAGTCCATGTCCCTATCGCCATGTGGGAAACTGTTGGTATTCCTCGGGAACGCAGGGTCTATTCTGCTGGTTGATACAAAAACAAAGCGCCTGGTACACACATTGAAGGTGAGTGCGTGTATTTGTGTATATGGTATATGGGTAACAACCTCTCCGACGATCTGAATGTATTCATATACGTAATTGACGTGGCTGTTGTGCACCACATTTGGACAGAGAGGACTCGCTTACAGCTAGTGCATGTGCCTTGTGTCAACACCCGGGTGTAGCTCAACACCGCGGGAGCCATGTGTCAAACGATGCTAATTAAGCGTTTGATTCGTTGCTTGAGCTTGAGAGTGCACATCTTGTATGTAGGTAGATCTAGAGCTTTGCGTCTGTCCAGTTCCATCCAGGTTGCAATCTCACATGGTCAGTGGTCTTAAAACCTTGTTTGGTTGTTTTTTGTGATGTATACGTTACATTGCTGCTGTGTCGCGCATGATCTTGTTCAAACTGGGAAGTGTCCTGAAATGTAATTTCAGAATAATCAAACTTGGAAGTATCCTGAAATGCAATTTCAGGATAATCAAATTGGGAAGTATTTTGAAACGCAATTTCAAGAATATCAAACTGGGAAGTATCCTGAAACGCAATTTCAGAGAATAGTCTCGAGAGCTCGTACACACGTAGTATCGTACTAAATGGTTCTTTCCGGTATTCCCTATATGCAGATGAACGGCACGTCTAGAGCAGTGACCTTCAGCCCCGACGGTTCAACTATGTACTCCTTCGGGAGTGCGGGGGATATATATGTCTGGGATATGAAGACGCTCCGGTGTACGCACAAGTTCCACGACGACGGTTGTATATCTGGTGTGCAGGTGACCGTATCGCCGGATGGACGGTATTTGGCCACAGGGTGAGTTTTGTTGTGATCTGGATTGCTGTGCAGTTGATTAGCATTGGCTTTTTTAGGTAGAGTAGTCTCCTGCCAGACGATGTATACGAATAGCTGGTATGTGAATGTATATGCTATATCCTATCCAAACCCCTGACATCCTTAAAATCAGGGTTGTAGTGTTGACATAATTCTATCGAACTGACGAATTCATATTACATATCGTTCGACTCGACCCAACCCAACCCAACCCGCAGGTGCCAGTCCGGTGTGATCAACTTGTATGACGTGCCATCGCTCACAACCACCACCAAACCCAAACCCCTCAAAACCATCATGAACATCACCACGCGGGCCGACACCCTGGTCTTCAACCACGACTCACAGATCCTAGCGGTGTCTACAAAGCACACTAAGGATACACTCAAGCTTATACACGTGGCCAGTATGACGGTGTTCAGCAATTGGCCCACAGCGGCAACACCGCTGAGATATGTGCAGTCGGTGGCATTCTCACCGAACTCGGGATATATGGCCATTGGTAATGACCGAGGGCATGTGCTGCTGTACAGGTTAAATCACTATCACAGTGCTTAAATTCACGTGTATATCGAGTATGTAATAAAGTAAACGGAACCTGCCAACGATTTCTTGTGCGGAGTGGGTGGGAAATGCTGATGCATGCGAATTGTATAACACTAGGTTACACCCCAACTTGGATGCTTGGTATACGAGATGACAATTTTAATGTTCGTGCGGGAGATTTGTAGATTTCAATTTCGAGACCACTTGCGCTTACGAGTGCGGGGGGGGGAGGGGCTGATAGAGAACCTCTACTAAGACTTAAGCGACCAATCCTGCGGTTGGTTGTATCGGTCTGATCTACAGTGGTAAGGATCGAACGTCCATGCGTAGCGGGACTGGGGCCAAATGGTGTTCCATCGCGAATCTTATCCATTGTCCCTGTCGTATGCAGTCATTTCGTCTCAGTAAGTGTTGATGCGATTGGCCCATGCGGACACCGCATTACAGTGGGTGAGTGACAGGTAGATTTGTAAATGTGAAACTGCGCACGAGCATGCGGAATCCGCATTTCATGTGTTCCGAGATTGAGATGAAGTTTCATTTATTTGATAGGTGTACTTGTATACATATCGGGTGCGACAACACGGATCGTGGTACATATCGGGTGCGACAACACGGATCGTGGTTCGATTAATATTGTGCATATAGCAATATAAAACTGACTATCACGTACGTAATATCATGAATATGTACAGACGTTTCCATGGTATGGTATTGGATTTAGTTTACTTTTTCCCATAGCCCGCTGAATTGAACACTTTTGCGTTACAAATTTACAAATCAATTCATTTCTATATATACGCAAGA